AAAGTTTTCATTTTAGAAAGCACACTAATAATCATGGAATCCTAGAAATATGGACTGTATAGTTCATTCTGATGAAACTTAAATTTTGCCATGTTTAATCTCAATCTCTCACAAAAGAGACAAAGTAATCAAAATGTAGATAAATTTTCTGTCAGACCATAACATATATAGTTTGGATTCAACTGCCAATGGATTCCTGTTCCTGGTTGGAACTCCTTACTCTAGTTTGTATCATCTGCATTTGTATCTGCTTTCTTGTGTTCAGATCTCTGACAAGAATCTTACATCAAGCTCATCTTACAGCATTCTAGGTCTGCTTCTTTAACTGGCATCTCCAATCCTTTCCAAACTGCTCCTGTAAGCTACTTCCAAAGGCTTCTGAACCACATTGCTAGGTACTGTCAAAGGAATCACTATTTCTGGAACTAAAATCTGTATGTTACTTTCTCATCCCCAAGAAACAATGTTCAACAGTGTAACTTAAGAGAGGAGTGGTTTATTTTGGTTTATACTTCCTTCATAGTTAGTGAGCTCTAAGGCAGGACTGCAGGGCAGAAGGATGTATGTGGTGGATATTAAGGCTAATATCTAACTGACCCCCAAAACCTCATGCACTTATAGGTGGGTATTTTTGGAGGTCTGTGGATCATGGGTATGTGACATTGGATCATGAATGTGTGATAACTGGATTGGTCCACTAATTAAGTTAGCATAATTCTGGGTGTTGCTGATTGGAATTATTATTTTTCCCTTTTTTTTAAAAATCGGCACCAGGAATCGAACTCACAACCACACGCTTGCAATGCAGGCACTTATGCTGCTGAGCTAAATCCCCAGCTCCCACTGATTGGAATTATTAAAGACAGAAGACCCACTCTTGGTGTGAGTGACAACAACCAATATGCTTGTAGCCTGAATGGAATAAAAAGGGAAAAGAAATTTCACTGATGTTGCTTTCTGGTTACCCTGCTATGTACTGTTTTTCTTCTGCAGTGGCCATTTATCATGAGAACCTGTCTTGGAGCCAGTGGAAACCTCTACAATTGTGAGCCAAAATAAACCTTGCCTCTTTTAACTTGTGGGTGTCAGGTATTTTTCTATGAAATGAGAAGTTAAAAAGACAGTGGAGGAAAAACTCCTTACCTCATCATGGCTAGGAAGCAGAGGGAAGAGTGGATCTGGGAGGGAGAGACACCCTTTCAGGTCACACCCCTCATACCTCACTTCTTCCAGCCAGGCCCCAAGACCTAACAGTAAGACAGATATAGTCCCCCATAATCCAGTCACTTCCACAAGTCCCATTTCTGGATATGTGATGTTTTGGGAGGCCAACCATATATAAATCATAACACGTAGTTACCATAAAAGGATGCAATTCCTAAAATTTAAAATATAATCTTGATAGGAAACTGATGAACTATTTGGAAGAAAATAACCTTGTAATTTACTTAGGATTACTCTTTCATGGGTGCAGTGCTTTATGATGTACAGAATGAGAGTGTGAGGACCTAGTATGAATCTTTAATGTTCTGGTCTAATACCCTGTTTTGCTGGCATTAGTTTGGTGTTTGAAACATTGATAGCCACAGAATTCATGCACAACATTTCAGAACTTTGTTTCTTTCCTTATCTTTTTCTATGTTGGAGATACCCACTTTTTTTAGCTTTTTAATTTTTTGGTGCTGAGAACTGAACCCAGGACTACCACTGAGCTAAATTTCTAGTATCTACCCACTATTGTAGTCAGGGTTTACAAATGAGTAGATTTAATACAATATTCATCATTTATAGGATTACTTTATAATATTCATCTAAAATGTCTAATGCAGAAGAATGCAAGAAATCTGTCTGTGCAGTAGAGACCTGAAGAATCCAATCGAGGATCTGGTACCATGGCAATGTCTCATGCAAGTCCATACCAAGGATCTATACCTCAAGGTCAGTGGTGAAACTAGAAAGTCTATGCTTTCAGGGTGAAGGATCTGTGCTTTAAGGCTGAGGGATCTGCCCTGGAGCCTGGAAATGATGCTCAAAACAAAGATGAGGATCTGACCTCCTCTAACAAGGACAACTGACTTCATAACAGGAAAACTAGCTGCAATAAATCTTCCCCTGGGAAATCAGCAGCATACAATAATCCTTTCCTATTTTCTTTTTATACCTTTGGCAACAATCCTCAGGGGCTTCCATGCCTAGAACCACACTGATTCAGTTCACCTGGGCAGTCCTGCTTTAATTGGCCATTAGTTTCATACTCATGTGGTTCATAATTCAGGAAAATAAGATGAACTTCCATTCCATGAATGAGGTAGTTTTCTTTAGTAATGTCCCAAGAAATACTCAAAAAGTGAAAAATGTGGACTTTCCATTTTTTTAATCCAGAACTACATTCATCAGATCTTTTGCCAAAGCATGAAATTACACTGTATACTTAGATAATAAGAAGCTCTCAGTTCCTTGACTGTAAGAGTGTTGTAATTCATATGGACACCCCTCAGTTACTTGATAGTTATTACTATGAAACTCATTCTAGCTATGAATCCCAGAGAAGAAATCAGCAGCTTCATCTACACTGTAAATCCCTGAGCATGTCCCGCTTAATATACCCCTAGCATTTATCTATTAGTCTATTAATTAAACATACAATACTTAAGAACAACCTTCTGGTTTATTACTGCTGGTATAAATTTTAATTATTAAGAAACATTTCACAAAACATATGGGACTGCATTTACATCTATGAGTTTTGCTGATGTATTGAAATAAAAGGCCTTTATTTTATGATATAGTCATTTCTGGCCTTCGCTAAACTTCACCTGGTTCCTATTTTATTCATATTGCTCCTGAATGAAAAACAATGTAAAAAAAAACCATTTTGTTTTTAAAGCATTACCTGGAGCCTTTGTTAACAATCAGAACACCGTTCCTAATTCAATATATGAGATCCAAGTTGGATAGGCCTGGTATCACCTTAAAAGCATGTTCTCCAACACAGAAGTATCTTCTCAAATTTTCTTAATTGATAATAATTCAGCTGCCACCTGACTATACTAGCAAATGAGAACATTTATGCCCATATCATGTATTTTCTGTTCCTATTTTAATCACTTAATGCATATTTTATAATTATATTCATTTGCTTTACCTTTAAACTTTAAACATTTCCCAGGTCTTATGAATTTTGTTTCTCTTTTCTTTCATTTAACAGAGCTCAACATTTAACATTATTATCAGTTGGAGGTTAGATACATGTGCCATTGAATTTGGGCTCTATCCCTTTTTTATCTTTTCTGAAATTATAGTACCCCCTCAACCCCATTCTATTTCATAAAATTATTACCTCTATTGTGGAACCTTGTTCCTTGATTGCTAGTTGACAGAGCCCAATCTTCGTATCATCCAGAAACCCTCTTGATGAACTACCTTGTACTTGGCTCTGGTTTTGGCTCCAATTGAATACATGCTCCCAAATTATGTGTTCAGTCCTTGTCCAACGTCAGTGTGGTACATGGATACGAAGTTTTTGAGTTCTTAACAATACTTAAGTGCTCTCTCTGGAATAAAGATGCTGTTCCAATTTGCATTTCTCTACAGGGCAAATATACTGAACATTTTTCAGACATTTATTGGCAATTTGTACTTCTGAGAAGTATATTCATTTCACTTACCCATTTTTTCCAGATATTTGTACTCTGCAGAGTAAATGGGAGACATTTTCCCATTTGCAGGTTATTTCACTCTGTTTGCTTCTATGTCCATGCAGTTTTTTCAGTTTTATGTAATTATTGTATCATCTCATCTCATTTTCTACCTTATTTTATTATTCTCACCTTATTTTATACCAAAAAGTCTAGGAACATTAAGAAAATTTTTTATGTCTCTCCTAAATTCAGACCAAAGAATGCCTGGCTTATTTATGTTTCAATGTTTAATGTATGGTACAGACATATTTATGGCTGCTGTACAAACATTATTATGAAAAGATTGTTTCCAGAGCAACTATTCTAGACCAATAGTGATATTTAGCTCATCATAGGTTTATATTTTTTACTTAAATTTGTTATTTTTCTTAAAATGCAGAATTAAGGGGAACTGTTTGAGTCTGCAAAGGAATCCACTTCAGTTGCTTCCCCAGCCCCAGCTTCAAAGCCATGATCATCCCATCTTGCACCTTCTAATGCTAGGACTGAAGGAATGTAGCATTGCATTTGCCGTAGACTTTTAAACAGTAAGTGAGAAAAGGACAAACACTGATGTGTAATAGATTGTATTAAAATAATTTTGATACTGGACAGTAAACCTAGGAATCCTAAATCACTGAGCTACATCTACAGAGCTTCAACGTGTATTTTGAGACAGAATCGAAGTCGAATAGGCTAGCTTCAATTCTGTTTTCTCTCATCTTTGCCTCCTGAGTTGTTGGGAATAACAACATACATCATAAGGCCCAGCAAAATGTTTTTTCATGGTAAAATAATGAGACAGTAAATGTGCTCAGTGTAAAACCTTGTAGTTTCAATATTCTATCACAAGCTAGAATAGTAACATATAGCACACATCTTTCCGTTGATGTAAGAAACAGAAATTTGCTGTAGGAAGTTATATTTAGGGTATAAAATCCACTATTGGTGAATAACATAATTAACAAAGGGCAAGCTATTATGTTCACTGCATTATGGGTATTTAAAAATGAATTATTCACTTATTATGGTTCATAATACCATAAGTTTATAACGATGTAATCTCATCAGAAATTGAGCAATTTCTGCATTTGAGAACACTGAATAAAATGTTTTAAAAAACATTTTGATGCTAAAATATTTAGAAATACAGGTTATAGGAAGCCACCTGGGACACACACACACACACACACACACACACACCTTGAGCCAGTCTATGTGTTTAAAAGGCATTTGTCATGTATCTCAAACATTAGACAGTGCTCCTTATAAATGACAAATGGCATTGCATAAATGTATCTCTAAAACTGACAAAACAAATCTGAATTATAATTTAATAAATTCCATTTTTACAAAACTGACATCTCTCATGAGTTAGGTTTTCCTTCATGACATTATTTCTGCTTATTAGGTAAAACAATAATGTTGGCCAGACATGGTGATGCAAGCCTATAATTCCAGCACTCAGGAGGCTGGGGCAGGAGGATTGCCATGAGTTTGAGGCCAGCCTGGACTACACAATTTTAATGCCAGCCTAAACTACACAGTGAAACCTGTCTCAAAAAATAGAAATACCAAAATCAGAATGGTAACACAGCATCAGGGAAAAAAGACATTTGTGTTATTACATTCAACAGTAATTATTTTCCCCAAAACAACTTCATTGCTGACAAAAATTCCTTCAAAAGTATTGTTGCTGATAAATTATACCATCATTTATAATTTTGGAGAGATTTTAATAACTCATGATATCCTTTTGGATACAAGTTATGGTCCAGATGGTTGAAGGCAATCAAGATAACAGCAGTTTCATTTATTTTAAGTAAATATGTTGGAAAAACTACCACTAAAATAAGTCATTGGAATATAAAGAAAAGCACAGTTTTGATAAGAAAACAAAATGTTATGCAAATGATAATATCTGCTCTTATATGAAAGAAAAACGGGCAAAATTATGTATATGATACACTATACAAGCAATATCTTCTCTTATGGGAAATAAAATGTGCTAACCTACAAGTTGTGCAGAAACAAATCAACTTTGTCCAAAACATGCTTACATATCTTAACATAAAATACGGCATCAAATTGAAAATATCTCCTGTTACACAGAATACAGAGTAAACACATTCAAAAAATTTTTAAAAAGGCAGTGGCAAAATCCCAACAAACAGCAATGAATAAGATTAAGTTTTTTAGCGGCTTGTAGTTACCCATTGTAAAGACTAAATAAAAACTACATAAATACTAATTCTACTTGAAAGTAAAAAATACATTTCACCATGCTCAATCAAAACGCTATGTATTAAGCTCAAAGACAAATACCTAGTTATGTCAACTCAATATTTTTATATTAAATACTGCAGACACAGAATCCAGATATTTAAGTGATTTACTGAAAAAACACAAAATATATGCAGTTTAGGATTTTTCTATATGGGATTGTATTTTCTAGAAGTTTTATAGAGAAGTACTAATATTAATCTTTTTACATTAATTATTCCTATAGTTCTCCAATACATGAGAAATTTTCACATGGTTTTCAAAATGGCTTATATATAGTTTCTCTCCAGTTGAGATTTCTTTCACTTGTTTTACAACAGATCTGTGTGAATCCTACACTGCTTACATATATAAGGTTTTTTCCCTTTCAGTTGTCTTTGACAAGCTCTAGGCAATGTAAATGCTTCCCTGCACTGCTTTCATACATAGAAAGTAAGAATTAATGCAAAGTTTTGAGTTCTTTTATGTCTTTTGCAGTAACAAGCTTTGCTAAATGTTTCCCACATTGCTTAGGATTTCTCCCCAGTATGAGTTCTTTTACAACTTTGACAAATACTATGTTGAAAGTTTTTCCACATTGCTTTTATATATAAATATATATATATATATATATATTTATATATAAAATCTCCCCAGTGTTATTTGATGTTTTTGACAAGAAAGTTGTGCACTAAAAGCTTTCCCACATTGCTTACATACATAGGGTTTCTCCCATGTGCATTCTTCCATGTATTTTAAAATAATATTGTGCACTAAAAGCTTTCCCACACTGTTCACATACATAGGGTTTCTCCCCAGTATGAGTTCTTTCATGTCTTTGACAAGTACTATGCATGCTGAAAGCTTTTCCACATTGCTTACATACATAGGGTTTCTCCCCAGTGTGAGTTCTTCCATGTATTTTACAATAATATTGTGCACTAAAAGCTTTCCCACATTGTTTACATACATAGGGTTTCTCTCCAGTGTGAGTTCTTTCATGTATTTTATACTGACTGGGTGTGTTAAAAGCTTTCCCACATTGCTTACATACATAGGGCTTCTCCCCAGTGTGAGTTCTTCCATGTATTTTACAGTAATATTGCGCACTAAAAGCTTTTCCACATTGTTTACATACATATGGTTTTTCCCCAGTATGAGTTCTGACATGTATTTTATATTGACTGGGCCTGCTGAAAGTTCTCCCACATTGCTTACATACATAGGGTTTCTCCCCAGTGTGAATTCTTTCATGGATTTTATACTGACTGGGTGTGCTAAAAGCTTTCCCACACTGTTTACACACATAAGGTTTCTCGCCAGTGTGAATTCTTTCATGGATTTTACATTCACTGGGGCTGCTGAAAGCTTTCCCACATTGCTTACATACATAGGGTTTCTCCCCAGTGTGAGTTCTTTCATGTATTTTACATTTACTGGGTCTGTTGAAAGCTTTCCCACATTGCTTACATACATAAGGTTTCTCTGCAGTGTGAGTTTGTTCATGTATTTTACAATAATATTGTGCACTAAAAGCTTTCCCACATTGCTGACATACATAGGGCTTTTCCCCACTGTGAATTGTTTCATGTATTTTACACTGACTATGCCTGTTGAAAGCTTTCCCACATTGTTTACATACATATGGTTTCTCCCCACTGTGAGTTCTTTCATGTATTTTATAATGACTGGGCCTACTAAAAGTTTTCCCACATTGCTTACATACATAGGGTTTCTCCCCAGTGTGAGTTCTTTCATGTATTTTATACTGACTAGGAGTGCTAAAAGCTTTCCCACATTGCTGACATACATAGGGCTTCTCCCCACTATGAATTGTTTCATGTATTTTACAATCACTGCGCCTGTTGAAAGCTTTCCCACATTGCTTACATACATAGGGTTTCTCCCCAGTGTGAGTTCTTTCATGTACTTTACATTCACTGGGCCTGTTAAAACCTTTCCCACATTGCTTACATACATAGGGTTTCTCCCCAGTGTGAATTCTTTCATGTATTTTACAATAATATTGTGTACTAAAAGCTTTCCCACACTGGTTACATACAAAGGGTTTCACTCCACTGTGAGTTCTTTCATGTCTTTGACAAGAACTTTGTGTACTAAAGGCTTTCCCACACTGCTTACATACATAAGGGTTCTCTCCATTATAATTTCTTTCATGGATCTCACTACCAACAGGTATGCTGGAGGCATTAAAGGTCTTTTGTCTAAAATGAATTCTTTCACTAAAATCAGAGTAAGATGCTGCACACTGACCATATTCATAGGTTTTTTCTTCAGTCTTTGCTCTTGCATCCTTCTGAAAGGACTGGAAATCACCACAGGATAGTTCACGTTCATTACACTTATACAACTTCTCTTCTGATCCCAAATACTCAGATGTCTTTAGTTCAGTGTGAGCTATGATGGGCACATTTAGAGACAAATGTCCAATCAGGGGTTTTCCACAAGCAAGGCTTTCAGCTGGTTTTAAACCAGCTTGTTTCATGTCCACATTAGCATCTGGAGTCCAAAGGAATATTTCTTCATATTGATTCCAGCCTTCATTTTGATAGCATTTCTCAATCTCATTTCTGTAGAGAAAACAAAACAAAACACCAGTTGCAATACAATGGGTCTCCCTATTAGTCATTTAGCACTAGTTCTGCTTTGATTCCTGCTAAGAAATTCTGACAATGAATTAACTGAATACCCTGGCAGATACCACCAAATCAGTCAATCCCAACAGTAGTATTCATTTGGGAATTTTAAAATTGGTGTATTGTGCAACACAGAAGGTTTATTACTTTCACTTTGGGAAACTGGTACATGTGTAAATCACATAATGATCATTGTGATACCTTTTCCTCATCACTCTCCTTTCTTTCCTTACTCTGTTTGCTTCCCCAAAAGTCAGGCTTTCCTTTTTAAATTGCCTCTCTTTTACTTTACTCCCTAATTTATATATTTGGGGTCTTACATAAGAGAAAGCATGTGACCTGTCACATTCTGTGTCTGACTTATTAATTTAATACTACAGGATGAAGACCCAACCATTTCTTTCGCGAAATGACATGTTATCATTCAGCTTTATGGCTGATTGTACAGCACATTTTTTTTTCTTTTCGGTGCTGGGAATCAAATACAGGTTTACCATTAAATTACATCTCTGGATATTTTGTTTATTTTGAGAGAGATTCTTACTGATGATTAAGTTGCTCAGGCTGAGTTCAACTTGTCATCCTCTTGAATCAGCTTCCCAGGGTGCTGGAAATATCAAAGATCACACTGAATCTATCAAAACTGTTCTGTATCTATTGATCCAATGATGGACATCTGTTATATACTGTCCTGCTTTGACTATGTATCCATGTATCCACATAATGTGATGATCTGAACTCTTTGGGGACTATACCCAGGAGAGGTATTCTTGGATCATGTGAAACTTCTATTTGTAATTTTTGAGATGTCTGTGTGCTGATTATCAGACTGGCTATACTTAATACTTAAAACAGTGTTGGAGAGTTCCTCTTAAGAATTTTAAAACATGGATTCAATTCTCTGGATGACCTGAAAACACTTGCTACTACAATATGAACATTTATATGTATGTACATTGAATACTGTTTCAAGGTTAGCAATTTTTTTATAACAAATATCTTATATTCACATGTATACATAGATATGCCAAAGAAAGGTTTAAAAGTGCATTTCTTTTCATATGTACCTATACATAATACTAAAAGCAATTTCATGCATTTTTATGATAGTGATCATGAAAGAACTTTTTTTTATATTTACATGTCAAATAGTGTCACTTGTTGCATGATATGAGTGGTCGTTTCCTACATTGGAATATTTCTGTATTCAGCTATCACATTATACCTACTATGCATAATGTACGTACATATGTATGTATACACATACATACATCTTTGGGGAATATTTGTGATAAAATGTGGAGATTAAATAAATTTGAAAAAGGCCATGTATCCCTGCTTGTGATATTTCTATTCATACACTGAATCTTGAGGAATATTCTTTTTTCTTGAGTACAAATTACCTCAGATTTCTCCAGTCTTTTTTGTACTCTTCTTCAACTTCCCAGTTATCCAAGACAATTCCTGAATTTCAGACACAGAAATATAAGGAAATACTATATTATTATACAAAAATGAACAAATTCCAGTTAGATTCATGGTGTAATGTAACCAAGTCTGAGATAGTCCCCAAAATGTTTTCACATTCTGTTAATGAAACCACACTGATGAACAACAATGTTCTCTGACTGTATAAATGAGCAAGTGATGCCATCCTTACCTATAGCTGCCATGTTCCTTAAATTTTCTCTCATCACATGTCTGTAGAGCTTCTTTTGGGATGGATTAAGCAAAGCCCACTCCTCCATGGTGAAGTTCACAGCCACATCCTCAAAGGTCACTGCCTCCTAAATGACCAAACATATGTTTCCTGAAGGAAGGTTGATATAGCTTGAGATATCTCAACTCCTCTCATAAAAAAACTGAACTGAAAGCCAGGGTTGGTGGTGCATGTATGTAACCTCAGCACTCAGGAGACTGGGGCAGGAGTGTCATGAGTTTGAGACTAGTGCGGGCTACACAGTGAGTGCAAGGACAGCCTGAACTGCACAGTGAGACTCCATCTCAAAAAACCAAAAAAAACAAAAAACACAAAACAAAAAAAGCTGAGCTTCCGGGAGAACATGGCGGACAGATAGCAGATACTACGGAGGCTCTCTGAAAGGCTTGGTTCAGAGGTCAGGAATGGTGTGGACTAAGGAGACATAAGCCGGTGGAGATATGCTCTGCTGACTCAGGAATGAACTGAGCTGAGAGAAACCAACTTGGAATGCAGTCCTGGCGCTAAAACAGGAACAGAAAAGCCTCGGTGTGGAGGATGGACCCCGCGCCATTGGAAGCCGTGATTTGGGTTTCCCGCTGCGCGGCGGCTGGCTGTCTCTACATCGGCTCGGCAAGGAGAGAGACGCGCGGAAGCTATGGGAAAGGGAGTCTATGAATGGAGTCAAAAACAGGACAGGCAGGGAGGTGTACACTGACTTGTGGTGAGGTGAGTGAGAGAAACTGACACTCTACCACAGTTTGACTCCAGCGAAGGACTTTCTGGGATGGGGCAGTCCTGCAGGAGCAGGGCGCGGGACTCCAGCCACACATCCCCCTCTCGGACGGGATTGGTGAAAAGTGCCTGGCCTGCGTGACGCTGTTGGCGGACCCGGTAGGCTGGCCCAACCCAGATCCCAGAGCCTGATGGTGGCCGGGAGGGGCGGGCCCCGCGTAGGCTGCCTGATCTGAAACTTCCTGGTGTGCTGCGGTGGGTGGGAACACCTAACCGGAACAATTCGATCAGGCTGTGGCTGACAGGGAGAGAAGCTGGGTCTCCTATGTAAGCTTGCATATATAAGAAACGGAGAATATGGGAAGAGGCAGCAACAAGAAGGGCTCCTCGGCCCCCAATTCTGAGAAACAGGCAATAGCGGACACTGCACCAATAGACATAAAGCGCCATATAGAGAGCCTCATAGACCAATTCAGGAATGAAGTTATCAATGACCTCAAGCTAGAAGTATGCAGAATAGTTAGAGAAATGCTAAGCACCACCCAAGAAAAAACAGATGGTGGAATGGAAAAACAGAAAAAGAGGGGAGAATTGTTTGATGGAGAAAACAGAGAAAGCATAGAGTACGTGAAGCAGGTTCAAAGGGACTACCAAGAAACTAAGAAGTCTATACAAGACTGGCATAACAGCTTGAAAGAAACTAAGGACAGACTATCTGAACTGGAGGGCAGACTTGTAATATGGGAGAATGAAATGAAAAACTTCTTAAAAATAACAAAGAAACAAACAGTAATAATACAAAGACAAGAAGATGATAAGAGGATCCATAACTTAAGGATTAAGAACATAAAAGAAGAAGTAGGGACACAAACAAGTGAACTACAAAAGCTACTCACAGAAATAATCCAGGAGAATTTTCCTAATTTAGCAAAAGGTAAAGATACTCAGATGTATGAGGCATACAGGACCCCAGCTACCTACAACCCAAACAGAGCAATACCCAGGCATATAATAATAAAAATTCCAGAAATTCAATACAAGAACAGAATATTAAAAGCTGTAAGAGACAAGAAACAGACCACTTACAAGGGAACACCCATCAGAATTACAGCAGATTTCTCTGCACAAACCATCAAATCATGAAGAGCTTGGGGGGAAATAATTCAAGCTTTGAAAGATAATAATCTCCAGCCAAGATTGAGATATCCTGCACAACTGTCCCTGGAAACTGATGGAAAAACAAGGTGCTTCCAGTATAAAGAGGAACTGGGGGAATTTGCAACCACCAATTCAACTCTACAGAAAGTATTGCAGGATATTCTAAAAAAAGAAAAATACAAAGAACCCAGAAAAGGTGGCGGGGAGGCCACAACGAATGGAGCAGAGAACAAAATGAAGAAGACAAACTGACAGCTACTGACAGAAAAAGAGCTCAACAGAAATGAGACAGAGAAGATTGGATGATAGGAACAGCTATTTTGGAGAAAATGACATCTTAATAGGTAATACTGATTTAGTATCATCTTGTTTTGAAGTCTCATCTAGCTTTTGTTCTTCTGTCTCCAATGGTCTAAATAGGTTGTACCTTATTGGATTTTATTATGTACGATAGTATAAGCAAAAACCTTTTAAAGACAAGGAGATTATACAGACACCATTGTTCATTTTCTGTTAGTCGATTCTAAATACTCTGTAATGCTGTCATTCTCTTAAATGGTTTTACATTGTTTTGATATACTTAATGCTACAGTATACGAAGTTGTACTCAAGGATTTCAAGGAAAGAGTCAATATGGTAACTACTCTTGGGTCAGGATTATCTAGTGGTGAAACACTATTGTGCTTAAATGGTTATGTTTTGATCTACGCTGTTTTGCTGTTATGCCCTCTTTTATCTCAATCTCCACTCCATTATTTACTTTTTTATTTTTATCCATTTAATTAAAGGGAAAAAAATAGCAGGATATATTATAGTAACCCACTTTGACTTTCTATTATCTAGATTTGAAGCCCTGTATTACTCTCACCATCTTGTTTTTAACTGATGTTCCCCTATTCTGTTTTGCTGGATAGTATCAGGTTCGAAAGTTTAGGCATCAGCTGTGAAGATAATGAGATTCATTATAACGCCCATTCTCGTTGACTTTTATATACTTTTGAAGACCTATAATGTCTCCAATGTTTTGGTTTTGTCGGTTTTGTTCTTTACTGTTTTGTTCAATTGTATTATAACTAATGATATAGGCAACTCTATTAGAGATAGCAGGAGGCATTATGGTAACCATTGTTGATCACCTTGTATTATGTTTTTACATTATCTATTATGTCCACCCTTTTGACTTGACCGATTCTGTTCTGTTATGTCACATTTGGTTTTACTCTCTTCCAAAAAAGCAATTAAGAACCGTGGGAGCAATGAAACCCAAAATGTGTAATAGTCATTGTACAAAAGAGAGGAAAAGAAAGTGCTCTAAACTATATAACTGCATGTATATTTAAGTGTATAAGATAGAAAATGATATCACAGAGTTTTATTGGATCATTGAACAGAACTGTTTGCAGTATCATTGTTGGAATGTCCACTCTACAAGCTTTAATTTTGTGACTTGAACAATTATTTCTAAGATGGCAATATGTAATCCATTAACTATTGATTTCCTACTGTTCTTTTTTTTTTCTGTAAATCTGTATAACTTGTACCCTTTCACTGTTTTTTTTTCCCTTTTCTCCTTAAATAAAATTAAAAAAAAAAAAAAAAAACAAAAAAAGCTGAATGGGGGCTGAGTCCTTCAAATAGTAACTCTGTGTCTTGTTCTTCAAATTCATACAAACGCATTTTGTCAGATAGCAATCCTGATGCTAGACTGCTATTCATTGCTAAAGCAACAGTAGAATATCAAAGGTACATTGTAAGGTGTAGTCAGGGGTTATGATGAAAACAATTAGAATCAGGAAATAAAATTTATATTATTATTTTATGATGGTCACCCAGAGTTAAACACAAGAAAAGTGCAGGAAATCTATCCACAATACCAAAGACATAGAATATTCAGCCAAGGGCCTGGATCCCACAGCAATGGGATGAATCCAGATGAAAACTTAGAGCCCATGACAATGTCTCCTACGAGTCCAACTGGAGGTCTAGAGCCCATGAGAACTCATGCCCGTCTATTTATGGATCTGCGCTAGGAAGGCCCAAAGGTCAGTGGTGGAAACTAGAAAGTCTATGCCAGCGAGACGAAGGAGCTGAGCTGGTAGGTTGAGGGTTCTACACTGGAGCCGAGAAGTCACATTCAAAATAAAGACCAGCATTGCCCTGAAAAGTACCACAACCATCCTCAGCAACATGGAGGTCCCGAGCTCCTCCAATGATAAGAATAGTCAGGTACATGCCAGAAAGCCAGCATGACAAGCTTCTTCTGGAGATTAAACAGCACGCACTTCCCCTCCAGAGCCAGGAAGTGAAGCTCGATGTAAGGACAAGAGCTTCCCAAAAGTGAACCACAGCCACTCTCACCAACAAGGTCCCAAACTCCTCCGATGATAATGGTCAAACTCATATTGGGGAAGCTGGTCACAACGGGCTCTTCTAGGAAAACCAAATGGCTCAAAACAGCAACAGTTAGAGAAACTCGCAACGCCTAACTCTTCTTCTCCACGTCTCTATTTATGCTGGCAACTTTCCTCAGGTGGACCATCTACACTCAGCACCATGCTGATTTAATTCAGCTGGTGTTAAGTTGACCACCAGTTTTTAATCCATAACACGAGAGTAACTGCAATGGCCCTAAAGCAGAGCTCTTAGAGGGAGCCTAAAAAATCATTATCCACAAAATGCTGAGGCAGATGAGTATCTAATAAATGGTTTTGACAGACAAGGGATAACATTCCTTTTCAAATCTTACTATGTATGGATTGAGTTCTTTTTTCTTTGATTGTATTTGGTTTTACATGTGAAAAAATTATCTCAGGGGAAAATCAACTAGAATTAGAAGGATAAACTGAAATATATGAAAGTCATGAGAAATAAACAAGGCAAGAAGAAAAATATTTGTTTTGTACATAGTCTAAAAATGTCTGCAAGATATTTAATTCAATAGAAAAAATGGAAAACAAGAACCAAACCGTTTTTTTAGAAAATCATTAAAAAAAGGAAGTACAGCATAAAGAAGCAGGCATATATAAAATGGAGAATAAGCTGATATACTTTATACTCATTTCCTTTACTTTGGACTTGACCAAAATCTGAAGACCACTGACTTTTTCCCACTGTCTAGAGAAAACACCTTGCTCCAGGAATACCTGTAGATAGGTGTGATTCTTTTCAAGATTGAATAGTCCTGAACCACCTGATCAATGGGATGGATAAGAAAGAACTCTGCCCTTGATTCACTTAGCACTCGTGAACAATATAAGATGGACCACCATCACCACCAAACCATGGAAATATTTCTCTTGGCAATTTCTAAAATAATCATTTATTGAAAATTCCAAGAAAGGAAATAAGAAGATTGTTCACAGAAAGTCACACAAGATGAACTTAGGAAGTGTCACCAAAATGAGGGAGTGGTCATCCATGAAAGGATGTCCTGCCCTATCCCTATGAGTCAGTGGCAGCTGCACTGGCCAAGGGAGAACCAGGAAGGAAGCCATGTCCTTCCAGGAGCCAGCCTTTATGTGGGCCAGGAGAGACGAACTCCCACCCCCACCCCAGCAACTGGCTGATTAGGAGGAACACAGGCTGAGATGATAGTAACTGAAGTAAAGAAACGACCTAATGCTTACATTGTTTGATTTACTTTGCAACTTAAAGCTAGTAGTTTGAGCAAATATTTTGAGGATAACAATATGCAACATAGTAACTATTGTGGATTTCTTACTGCCTTATCACTTGTTTTATTTTATTGTTCTGTTTTATGCCCTTTAAGAAAAAAAGGGCAGGGTATCTTTTGAGACTATATTTAGTATTGTATAACAAGTCACACCAGTCTTACGCAGTCCCACAATATTATGGAGTAAAAAGTCCTCTAAATGCTATATTCTGTAGGCTTCATTATAAGATAATTTATTGTTTTGAGTTGCTCAAGTGCCAGATAAATTTTGACCTCTTCAGGAGTTTAACTTACTGTCATGGTTTATGTCTGTGGCCCCCAGGCCTCATGAGTTTGAATTGTGCATTTGTTATTCGTTCATTGTCTAGTGCTTGGATTGATGGTGTCAGTGCTCCACCCACAAAGGGTGGAGCCAGGATGTGATGTAATGGCAGGAAGAAGATGCCTTGCTCTTTGCTGGTTCCTGCTTGCTGTTTGTGGCTGCCATGAACTGCGGCCTAGCCATGCCTGCCTGCCTTGGAGCCAACTGAGTGTGGACTGAAAGCTCCAAAAACTGTAAGAAATAAACCTTTCCTTTCCCAACTTTGGGCTTCAGGTATTTTGTCTCAGTGACGAGTAAAAAAGTAACCAAGACACTTACTGATGTATTTTACAAGAAAAAAATCACTAGGAGTATGTTGTAGAATGATATATTTCATTCCTCCTTATCTGCCTTTGTCTCTCCCTGCCTCTTCCCAGGTGAAATGAAGGTGGTCAGGATTCCTCACTATGGTCCTCTGTAATGGTGTTTCTGCCTTGCTACAAGACTAGTAGCAATAAAAGAGGTTGACTAAGGACTGAAACCTCCAGAATTGTGCCACAATATATATCTATTCTCATTTTAAAGTGTCAACTATTTTTTTATAGCAATTGGAAGTTAACAGATCCATTGGAATGAATGTATGTCATTTTCACACCATGCCTATTGAGAATTAAATCTTCAATGTACATGGAAATATAGGTATCTGTTTTAGATTCTGGTTTCACTTTAATACAGTTTCAATTAAATTATTTTTATTTTCCTTCTCAATTTTTGTGGTAATAGCGTTGAACTCAGATCCTTGCATATCTCAGCCAAGTGCTCTGCATGTAACTACTTTCCCTGCACTCAACTGAATTTTTTGGAGTGTAAATCTCTTAATATTAATTAAGACACCATGTATTTAAGCATATGCTAACAAAAAGTTGATACACATTCGTTTGTTTTTCTAAACACAAGTGTTCAGATTCAGTAAATTATAAAGAAAAGAGCTTTACTTTATCTCACAGAACCGTGAGAGCCAGTTAAGCCAACTTCACCAGTGCACTCGTGCACTGTTTCACACAGGTGTTTCCTCTCATATTTTCAAAATAGAATATTTGCAATGCTGAGTCAAATTTCACTCTTGTTTACCTTCATGCCTTCCTACAGTTTTAGCGAATACTGGTTTCTTCAATCAGTTTCCTGAGGCAATTTATGCTTCTTGTCTTTACTCTTTCAGATTTTATGATGGGTTATTTTGTGCATTTTTCTCTTTCTAAGTAAAAAAGAAAGAAAACATAGTTAACCAATATCACCTTTACTATATCTGTTTCTTCATCTTAAAAATAAAAAAAAAAAAAAATAGAACAAAATTTCCAACCTTTTTTTTTTTGAACAGGGTCTCACTATATAGTCCAGCCTGGCCTTGAATTCTCTTATGTAGCATAGGCTGGCTTTAAACTCACAGTGATCCTCCTGTCTCAGCCTCCCAAGTGCTGGGGGTACAGGTATGTGCCACCACGCTTGACTTTTCAACATTTAGGATGAAATAATTCATGTATGCTTGTTATTAATTATGACCCAATTTGTTATATCACAATAAAATGCCACTAACTATACTACAGACAGACAGTCATACAATAACTGCTGTGAAGAATGTGAAGAAAATTCCCAGTTACTGAAAAAACAAGGCAGACAGTCATGTTTGATAACGAACACTCTGAGAGTTTCTATAATTATAAAACATATAAGTATCTTTCAGTCCATTTCTGTTTCTAAACAAAATATTTCATGTTCAGCAAATAACCAAAAGGTTTACTCTGGCTCAGACTTTGGGCTAAGGTGGGAAATTTAAATCTGATAATGGCCTTCTTGCTGAGACAGAGCTGAGGTCCTCACACACGGTATCACATGGAGACAGTCTAAGACTAGAGGACCAGCTCTTCTCTCACTATGCTTCAATTCCAGTGTTTAATCATAGGGATTCCAAAAACAAAAACCTTACCTACTTCTAATTGCTTCCTAAGCAGCTCAACTGTCTATGTTTACTCAGACAATGTTTTCAACTATTAGGATATACAACTGGATGCTCACCTATTTGTCTGTATCACTGGAAATGAGATTTTTTTCAAGAATTTTGAATGGAACTATTCATATATAACCATAATTGTTTCCACATCATTCAGTAATTACTATCTTAGTTACATATATGAAAGTTATGAAGACCTAAGTCCACGCTAAAATTTGTTTATTAATGTTTATATCCCACATAGTTAAGTTAGGTAGAGATTGACAAGCAGTAGGAAAGTGACCAGGACCAAGATAGAGCTACTTCTAAGATGAAGTAAAGAGTCTGTATGTGAGGGCTGAGCTGATAGAAACCAGGTCACAAGATGAAGACATGATGGCTAGGCCCACAAGTCTCACCACAGATAAGTAACAGTTCAAAGTTTTATTGTAACTGCTACCAGGTACTCACGTTAGCTCAAATAATGCAACAAACAAGTAGATGGATGCCCAGAACACTCTGACCCTTACCCCTACTCCTTTCACAAATGCCTTTGTTCTTTTTTGTAGTTACAGATCAACTAAATTAATTAATTCCTTCTGATAAATACTGCTACATGCCCTGTTTTAATATTTGATCAGTATTAGCTAAGCAATTGTACTTGTAACCAAATAGGTTGATTTTAGCTTGACTCAAAATATTCTATAAAAACCATTGGAAAAAATCTCCAGTGTATAGAAAAAAACACTAGAAAATTCAATTTTACTGTGCAAATAAATCCCTAGAGCTTCAGCTTCAACCCACTTTCATGCTCCCTTCTGCTTTCAGGAACTTTTTGTTTCATAAACTTTCTAACTTGCCTTCTGCATCCTATGCGCCATTCTTTGCAGACATGAAAATATGAACCTGGCAGAGTTAACAGGTCAGAATGCATTTTACAATGACATTTACAACATAGTGTTCATAGAGGCTAAAAGGTAGAGACAACTGAAATGCCCACAGATTGATGAATAACCCAAAATTGAAGCTTTCCATATTATTCATTCATAAAATTTTTTTTTCAATCTTTTTATCGGTACCAGGGATCGAACTCACGACTGCCTGCTTGCAAGGCAGGTGCTTATGCTGCTGAGCTAAATCCCCAGCCCCTATAAAATGTTTTTCTGATAAATGCTGTGATATAAATCCATCTCAGAAATGTCATGCAACAAAAGACAGACATTGAAACAGTGTTGAATTATTCACTTATACAAAATGGTCAGACTATATACAGATATATATAGTAGGTTAGCAGTTCATATGTATATAAGTAAATATATATAGTAGGTTAGCAGTTCATATGTATATAAGAAAAATAAGGAGGCAGGGTTCCTTTAGGAGTTAAATAAAATATTGTAAATGGACTAGGCTGTTAATGGTATGTTTATTTTTAAGTGAATGAATCAAAAATAAGTAAATTTTTTTAGTAAAGTTGGTATAAGACAAGTTCTGCTTAATAATAAATGTACAGAGAATTTGGAGAACTACTTTCAGTGCAGCTAATAAGTAAATAAGTAAAGTACTAATAAGTAAGTACTAATAAGTAAGTACTTACTAAAAAAGTAAGTATTAATAAGTAAAATAAGTAAAAGGAGAAAGAAAAGAGGGATTTGAGAAAGAAGCAAATAGAAGAAAGTATATGAGAGCACTAAATGGAAGGAAGGAGGAATAAAAGTAGGGAAAATAAAAAAAGGGAAGGGACAGAGAAAGGAATGAAAAAAGAAAAAGAAAAGATGATAGGGAGCAAGACAGATGGAAAGAAGGTAAAGAAACATGGACAGAAGGTGAAGAAAGATGGAGTCCAATGTGA